CTAAACCCCTAAACCCTAAAACAACCCAACCCCCCAAACCCCCCAAAACCCTAAAAACCCTAAAAACCCTACACCTGCCAGGGTTCTCCCTTTCCCTCGCAAAGTCGATGATCTCCTGTAGCTGCGCTTCCAGAGCTCCCAAGGACACAAAAATCCCAAGTCCTCGGCCGTTTTCCAAAGGTTCTGGCAGGGTTTTGGGGTTTTTAGGGGCTGAATTAGGGGCTTAGGGTTTAAGAGTGTTTCGTACATTTAATTTAGGGCTGAGGGGCTTGAGGTTTAGGGGTTTTGGAGGGTTTCGGAGACCCTGCAGACCGCCTGGTTGTTCTTCACACGGAGTTGCACTTGGCTAGAAGCAAGGTGAATACTATAGGGGCTGGGGTTTTGGGGATTCCTTATTATATTATTATGGTATAAAACCCTATTCTAACTATTCCGGCCCCACGAATACAGTGCCTGCTGCGTCATACCCAGGCTAAAGCTTGCCAGCAAGAACAGCTGGAGTCCTGGAGGTCCCTGCGACCCCCCAAAAACTATAGGTGCCTTATTTATTATTAGAATAGGGTTCATTTTAAAGGGATCCTTAAAGGGCTCCATAAGGGATCTATCATAGGGTTCCATAGTAGGGGCCTTAAAAATTTGGATAGGGTTTTGGGGACCATCTTATTATACTTGTAACAAGGAACCCCCAACATAGGATTGGTAACTATTTAGCCCCCCCATATTACCACGAGTTAACAGGTTTGATAAAGTTTGGGGCTGCAAAGTTGCTTGAGTTAGTAAAGCTGAACACGGATTCCTAAAGAACACCCAGAGTCTGGACAGCAGCTCAACCTCCTTGTCGTCAGAGTCAGATTGGCCTCGAACGAACACGGAAGTCCTTCGAGCAATGTCTTGCACCATCTCTTCGGACATATCTGGACAAACAGAATACACGTAGACTGCCAGCCCCAGCGTTGTGAGGATAAGTAAGCTGCCAAGCCCCACGGCCAAAAAGAAGAGGGCTGCATGAAACATCGTAGATGGAACCTATACTGAACTTAGACCCCTAGCATAAATTAGAATTTTACCTGCTTCTTGGGGCTTATAGTAGCCGAAGATTAAAACTCATTTCTAAGTACCCCTAAGGAACAGATTGACCACCAGCTTCCGGCCAGCATACTTCCCCTTCCAGCAAGCAGCCCATGGATTCCCGGCAAGCCGCCGTCGCGTCAAGAAACACTTCTTGGAGGACTGAGCGCCCCATGGGACGGCCCAAGGTGCCTAAGGGCAACAGCCCGTTGGGCAGCTCTGTGAATGAGCAGAGGGAAGCACAAACAGCCAAGCGTACCACGACGAAGAGCCTGGGAATGACTCCGTAACAACCTGCGCTGGTGGGGAAGAATACCTTGGTATGCCTTCCAGCCATTACGTTCACCAAAGACCATACATCACTGATGTTTGGTCCTCCAAAGAATCCGTTGGCTTCCAGATCTGCACCACTTCTGACGTCACTACAAGCATCAATCAGAAATCCGCCGCAAAAACCGGCGAGGCCCACGACGGGATGCAGCACTGTGCTGACAACCGCAAAGATCGCTAACTCCGCGGCGAAGACCGCCTGATACCCAAGCAGGGCAGACGTTGCCGCAGTGGGGCACAAGGACTTCAGTGCTGCGACAGGCAAGGCGAAGCGAGGCGGACCTCGACAGCGGGCTTCATAGCCCATGCGCCCTCGTCCCATGGCCAGGGCAGAGGCAATGAGCCCATACATACCACTCGCGGCCTGTATGGGGGTAAGAGTCGGAACCAATGACATGCCGTAGGCACCAACAAGCCCTGTAGCCGGAGCCTCAATGACTTCTTCCACATGCATGAGAAATTGCCACTGTCTTGTTGGCACGCCAATTCTGAGTGACATGCGGCCCTCTTCGAAAGCGGAGCCGTGGCGGCTCCGTAGCTTCTTCTGTGCAATCTGTGATTCATCCTGCCTGTGATAGTAGATGGTCGCGCAAAGACTCAGCGCTTGGGCCAGTGCCATGAAGGAAGCAAACCAGTAGTGATGATTGAGGAGGAAAGTTATGATCTGCACCATGTCGTTAACATAGTCCTGGGCAAACAAAGAAGGAACTGAGACGTCACAGGCACGAACAACCCGACCCATTCATGAGCGCGTGTGTGTGTGTGTGTGTGCGGATGTCTGTGAAAGCGAATTGATTTTGTGTCTATACTTAAGATATGGTCTGAAACGCACCCCACAAGCCACTCAGTTGAACCACGTTGAACCCGGGTTATAGACTGCTTAAGATAACTATGCATCCGAGAAGCTAAGTAATAAGTAAAGATTGCCGGCCAAATACCACCTGGCGGAAAAACGGTGCACCTCTGCAGCGGCCGATAGCCAGGAGGAGGCTTCCCGGGCTCACGCTTGCTCTTATAAGGAGAGGAAGCCACAAGCGGCGCATGGCCTTGCGCCTGTGGAGGCTCGTCGAGCGAGCAATGCCACATGACGGTGATCCTACGCGAGATGTCAGAGACTAACCCTAACCCCCCAAGTCCCTACTATATAGGGCCCTAGGGGCTCTACTACCCTATATAGTAGGTACCTGGGCGCTTAGGGTAAGAAGGTGTGAGCCGAGTATGGCCCCCAGAGCCTAGATTCGAAACCCTTCGTTGCATGAGACCGTGGCACTCTAGTCAGACTGTTAGAGGTCCAGCATTTTGCTTCGAGCGCGGTTAGAATGGGAACTTTATTGGCGTCGTTGTTGCTTGTGCTGGTTCAGGGTTTGGGACATGAATCGGGCGTTCTCCATTGCTGCCGTTGTCATGATGTCAAGTTGCAGGTATCATAGGCCGTGGCCTCTGCAAACGCTGCAAGACGCAAGCGCAACACCACGCGCATAAACGAAAACTCTCGGAGCAACACCACCAAGCACAGACACACACACACACACAACTGTAGAAGTGTTCTCATCGCATGTAGGGTAGCAGCTCTCACACAGGCATAGCACGACAAGCCCATGATGCCAGAAGCTGAAACCCAAGGCTCTGCTTGCCAGACCATACCCCACACCCTGATATGGGGCGGGGGGCCTGCAAATGCCATGTCGGATGCTCCTCCTGTACAAGCTTCCCTCAATGTCCCTTTTCTCTCAGCATTGTGTCCGAGGGCCTTCCGCGTTTCAACCTTTTAAAGGTCCTGAGCCACTACGACGGAGATGCATACACTACTCTTGTGGGAACCCTACTTTGCAACATGCCGGAACTCAGGATCTGTTGGGAATGTCTCTGCCTTACCGCTGCTGACTTCGGAGTCCCCATCGAGAGGTCCCTGGCTCAACTCTCAATATTTAAGCAACTTAGACATAAACTACGAATCCGCATTCTCCTCTCCTCAAATCGTCAAAGCATGAACCCATCCCTGACGTAGACGCGTGTATAGGATATTGACTATCTATCCATTCATCTATCTGTCTGTCTGTCTATCTATCTATCTGTCAAACAGCTAGCTAGCTAGTTGCCTGTTAGCGCACCATACGTAGTATCCAGGTTGATTGCGGCCAAAACAAGAGTCAAGGTTCTCTTATCACCCCAAGACTTCTGGGCGATGGCTGAAGCACGAAGGGCAGGGACGTACCGCCGAGGGACGGCACGTGACCTCCACGATTCGCCAATCCTCTTCCGCCTGGGGTCCATGTTTTTTGTCCATTCATGGGCATGTTGCAGTTTAGGGCTTTGTGGTACAGACAGAGTTCCCGCTTAACATGTAGAAATCAGAACAAAGTTATAGTCGTGACGCCTCCGTTTCAGCTCTACACCTCCATGCATATCCCTGCGTCCATATACGCACATCATATCCAATCTCGTCCCTACGTACCTATAGAGTGCGTCATAAATCCCCCGAACCTTATAACTTGTAAGGCCACTACTGAACCCTTGAAGGAACGCCTGGGCTCGAGCTCGGGCCAAGTACACCCTACACCCTACATCCGAGGGAGCAAGGGCTTTAGGGAGAACCCTCACCTGTCCTCCACAGACTCTCGCAGCCGTTTCCCGTAAACCTAGGGTTTGGGGTTTTGGGTCGGCAAACCCTAAACCTAAACCCTAAACGGCCCTAAACCCTTTTGCCCTCACCTTGATCCACACGCACCGAGGCCTCCGAAGCCAAACCTTTCTTAAATGATGCACAAAACTGTCAATCCCCCTTTTCATACTTAGAATAGGTCGTTGTGGTAACCAAGCCTAAACCCTAAACCCTAATAATCTCAGTAAGAAGAATGGGTCTTTGTGGGTGGTATATATTATCCCATAATGCCGCCGAAGCTCCCATTCGCTGTACCTTTCTCCAAGCGGTTGGGTTTCGCCATGTAGCATGTGGGTAGGGTTTAGCGTTTAGGGTTTGCGGTTTAGGGTTTAGGGTTCTCTAATATGGGTTCCCTTTTCGTGTTCTTTATATACGGGTGCCGTACTATTCTGGGGACCAAAAAAGGGACCCTAATTTAGAGAACTAATTATGTTGGTTGGACTGAGGCTTCGGGGGGATTCGGGATAGATCCCCACCCATCCCCTCATCAACTGCTGGTCGCCTCTTCACCGGAACCCCGGCAACCCAACAGGGCTTGGAGGTTATGTCATACCATAATTATATAATAAGAAACCCCCAAAACCCTACTCTATTACCACAACAGCAAGAGGATCTTACTCTGATGCTACGGTACGACAAAACAAACGGCCCTCAGCCGCACACCTACACAGCTCTGGCTACAGGTGTAATATAGGGGCCTTAATAATTATCATAGGGTTTGGGAGGTCATTTTTTCCATAATTATACTAAGGAACCCCCCAAAACCCTCTTCTAACTACTAAGGCCCGTACTCTAGAACCCAAGCATAGATCCCTTATAGAACCCTTTAAAGATCCCTTTAAAAAGGAACCCTATTCCAACTATCAAGGCCCCTACATTAAACCCCAAACCCTAAGCCCCATATAGATCCCTTTATGGAACCCTTGTAGATCCCTTTAAGGAACCCCCAAAGCCCTATTCCAACAGTTAAGGCCCCTACATTAAGGGCCTCAATCCCCCTA